CAGGGTTGGCCAGATGCAAGCACCTAATCTCCAGTACTGTCTCTCTGGCACCGCTTCCATTTCTGAACTCACCAGTGGGTTGTTTCCAAAAGTCCAGTTTCAGAGTCCCAGATAGGACAAAGAGCTACCAATCGCACCCCACCAGGCACGATCTCCCTGCCAACCCACATCTTACTGTAGCGTGCCTCAGTGTTAAGGAACAGACACATTCGCAAGGTCAAAAGTCCCCACCTCTGGTCACCCAGGTTTGGTCCTTGTGCTGGCAAATACCTGGGGGCTTCTTCTTCTTTTTATTTCTTTTTTCTTTTTTTATGGGAAGGGAGCAGCTTTGAAGCAAACTCTGCTCCCAGCCCTCCTAGCCTGCCTCTGCTACTCAAAGGGCTGTGGTTTGCCTCAGTTTCCCTTTCCCAAACTTCTGCACCAAGCAAGGCCCCAGTGTTTGGCGCCCAGTGAGGCTGGAGCACAGGTCAGGAAAGGAGACTGGGGTCAGCACTAGAGGACATGGCGATGGCTCCTGGGAGGGGCGGGTCCCTGCTGTCCCCAGGTACGCTGTGTGCCCCCCCAGCTGGGGGTTCCAGCTGAGCCCACGGGCCTTGTCCCCGCAGTGCTGTGCAGGATGACTACCTCACCACGCTGCCCATCGGGGGCCTCAGCTACGTCCAGGGCCGCACCAGACTGCAACTCATCAACAAGACGGTGGGGCACTGCCTCGAGGACATAGCACGGAAGTTCCCGGACCGGGAGGCCTTAGTTGTCCCCCTGGAAAACATCAGGTTGACCTTTGCCCAACTCAAGGAGGAGGTGGGTCCTGATCCTGAGCCCCAAAGTGGACAACTGCCTGCCCCCCCAGGCCTCGTTCACTGTGCAGAGCCTGGAGGGTGGGGGGCTAGGGCTGTGGGGAGCTCCCCAACCGAGGCCACCAGGGCCTGAACAGCTTCTGCTTCAGCTCCTGGGCTGCTGGGGCTGGGATGTGCCATCCTAGGCTCCCTCATGGTGCTGATGTGAGCCCCATCTGTTTCCATCAGGTAGACAAAGCTGCTTCCGGGCTCCTGAGCCTCGGCCTCCGACGGGGCGACCGTCTGGGCATGTGGGGACCCAACTCCTACGCGTGGGTGCTCATGCAGCTGGCCACGGCCCACGCGGGCATCATCCTGGTGAGGAGAGTCTTGCTGGCAGAGTGGAGTGGCGGCAGCGTTTCTGGGGATCCCTGCGGGCTCGCATACCCTGTGTGTCTCCTGGGCTGGGTCCTCCCTCCCCTGCCACTCTCTGTCTCCACAGGTGTCTGTGAACCCCGCCTACCAGGCCATGGAGCTGGAATATTCCCTCAAGAAGGTGGCTGGGAGAGGGGCATGCGTGGGCACACACGGGCACTGAGCAGGAGGAGGAGAGGGGGCCGGATAGACTCAGGGCTGCTGTGTGCTGGCGCCTGTGTGTGTGAGGAGAGTGGTGGGACTGTGAGGGATTGTATGTGTGTATGTCTGTTAGAGGGTGACATGTCTGTCAGAACAGTGGTGTATGTTTAGGGTTGCGTGTGTGTGTGTGTGTGTGTGTGTTGGGTCAAGTGTATGTCTTTGAGGGGCAGTGTGTGTGCTGGTGTATGTGTGTGTGAGGGCAGTGTTGTGTGAGTGTGTGTGGGTGCAATGAAGCTGCTGTGGGGGGGTGAACAGTGGTGCCAGTATGTGGTGGACATTTGGTGTGTGGGGGGGGTGCACAGGCACACACACGCATGAGAAGTGGTATAAAGTGGGGGAACAGTGGTGTTCATAAGCACGTATGTGTAATAGTGTTGGGGTATGTGTGTTTGTGAGAGAGAGAGCAGTGGTGTTGGTATGTGTGCGTGTGCAGTGATGCTGGTGTGGAGGGGCAGTGGTGTATGTGTGTGCATGTGGTGCTGGTTGTGTGTGTCTGTGTGTGCAGTGGTGCTGCGGTGCTGCACATCTGGGCAGTGGTGAGTGTATGTATGGTGCTGGCGTGTGGGTGTGCAGTGGTATTGGGGTGCTGAACATCTGGGCAGTGGTGTGTGTGTGTGTGTGTGTGTGTGGTGCTGGGGTGTGTGTGTGTGTGTGTGTATCTGTGCAGTGGTACTGGGGTGCTGCATATCTGGGCAGTGGTATGTGTGTGTGTATGTGTGTGTGGTGCTGGTGTGTGTGTGTGTGTGTGTGTGTGTGTGTGTGCAGCAGTGCTGGGGTGCTGCACATATGGGCAGTGGTGCATGTGTGTGAGTGAGAGCCGTGGTTGGTGAGGACCCCCAGAGCTCAGCTTCCTAATGACCAGGAGGCCTCCCTCCCAACAGGTGGGCTGCAAAGCCCTGGTGTTCCCGAAGCAGTTCAGGACCCAGCAGTACTATGACATCCTGAAGCAGATCTGTCCGGAACTGGACACCTGCCCACCGGGGGCCTTGAAGAGTCAGAGGTGGGGCCCAGGTGGGGCGTGTGCAGCTTCCCGGCCCCTCCACTGCCCATCAACCCCAGGGACCTAGCTACTGTCCCCTGGGCTCCCGGGGCCCCCTGAGCCTCTGCTTCCACCACCCCCAGGCTCCCGGATCTGACCACCGTCATCGTGGTGGATGAGCGGTTGCCGGGGACGCTGCTCCTGGAGGACGTAGTGGCCGCCGGCTCCTCGGAGACGCAGATGGCTCACCTCCACTACACACAGAAGTTCCTGTCCTGCCACGACCCCATCAACATCCTGTTCACCTCGGTAGGACCGAGGTCTGCGGCGCACCCGGGGTTGGCACCCTACCTCCTGGCCCTGTGGCCCCCCCTGAGCGGGGAACAGCCGTCCTCGGCCTGCAGACACAGCTCTCGGGGCTGCTCTGCCCTGAGCACCCTCACAGCTGGGGCCGTGGCACATCCCGCTGCCTCCAGCTCTCGGCCCCTGCATAGGGCAGGTGCGCGGAGAACCCACCAGGTCAAAGGTGCCACAGCGTGACCCTTCAGTGAGCAGCAAGGGGCATGGAGTCCCAAGAAGTAGTCTGGGGTGGGGGCGGGGTTGGCAAGTGGCAGAGGGGGCCGGGCCCCTTAGAGGCAGCAGGAGACAGATCTTCTGGGTTTCTGGTTTGTAGGCCTCGGCGGGGGGCTTTGAGGAGAAGGTGGGGGGTGAAGAGACGGCTCCCCCGGGAGGACGAAGGGGGCAGCCAAGCTCCTCACCGTGTCTCCTCAGGGGACCACAGGCAGCCCCAAGGGCGCCACCCTGTCGCACTTCAACATCGTCAACAACTCCAACATGATCGGGGAGCGCATGAAGCTGCAGCACAAGGTGGGCCCCGGGGTGTTTGGGGGCGGGGGGCGGGGGGCAGGGTAGGTGTCCCGCTGGCTTCCTGGGCTTTCGACTCAGCCTCCTGCCTCTGCATCCAGAGTGGCGAGCAGCTGCGGGCCGTGCTACCCAGCCCCCTGTACCACTGCCTGGGCTCTGTGGGCGGCACCATGGTGAGTCTCATGTACGGTGTCACCCTCATCCTCTCCTCTCCCACCTTTGATGGCAAGAAAGCGCTGGAGGCCATCAGCAAGGAGAGGTGAGGCGGCGGTGAGAGAAGATGCCTCAGCCCTGGGCCCCGAGCCCCTCCTGGGGCGTCTCCTCCCTCTAGTCAGGAGTAATGGAGATAGTCCTGGGGTGCCCTGGGGGAACCCTCCCCCCTCCTCCATGCTCCCGGTTCCTGCTCCCAGAGTTTCCCCCCACTGCCTGCATTCTATAGCTTGGCTGTGTGTATATGCAGGGTGAGACTGGGTGGGGGAGATGGCCCTGTCCCTTCCAGGCCTGATTTCGAGTTGCTCCCCCCCTCTCCCTTGTACAGAGGCGCCTACCTCTATGGCACCCCAACCATGTACGTGGACATTCTGAACCAGCCCGACTTCTCCAGTTACAACATCTCATCCATGTGTGGAGGTGGAATGGGGTAAAAGGGTGGCAAGGCCAGTTTGGCACCTAGCGGGCAAGGTTGCCATGGAAATGTGAATGGGAGGGAGGAACCCCCCCCACACACACACGCACACAAACAGACACACTCCCCGTGTCCAGCTGCCAGGTGTGGGAACAGGGCCATGGGAACGGTCTGGGGGAAGGGTAAAGGGAGGGCTCTGGGTCGCAGCAAGGGGCCAAGCCCACGAGTTCTCTGATGCAGGTGTGATTGGGGGGTCCTCGGCACCCCCAGAGCTGATCCGAAGCATGACCAGCAAGTTGAACATGAGGGACCTGGTGGTGAGTGGCGGTCAAGGTGGGTGGGCTCTGGGGTGGGGCCCTACTGGATCTCCCAGGGAGACACCCTCTTCCCACCCTGGTTCCAGAGAACAGCACGGGGTCCGACCTCATCAGCCACTGGTGAGTCGCAAGAGCTAGGCACCCCGGGAGACAATGCTATACGCTCGTACATTTATAGTTCTAGAAACTGGAGGAAGAAATGCATCTCAGGAGCAACGCTCGGGGGTCCTGCTGGTGTGTCCTGGCAGGCGGGGGCCGGAGCCACCAGTCCTCTCTGGAAGCAAGGGTGTTGCTTCCGGATGGCGGGGCTGGGGGGAGCAGAGCGGGGGGGCTGCTGAGCGGCATCTTCACCGATGGTCACCTGTGCGGAGAGTCGCCTGTTCTGGGGCCCCCGTGACAGCTTTTCTGAGAGGAGCCGTGATGGACGGGGCAGGTGTGATGGCATTCCCGTCTGGGGGGCTGTGCTTGTGCTGAATGCCCACGGCCCCACCAGGGTATGGCCAGCTCTGTGTGGTGGCAGAGACTAGGAGAGGGGAGGAAACAGGGGAAAGGAAGGAGGTCAGGGGTTCCCCTAGCAGAAGCCTCAGGCTGGTCCCCTGGCAGGCAGGCCATGGCGTGGGCCCCCACCCCCCCTCCTGGCATCCCCCACCAACCCCATGAGGTTTACAGAGAATGTGAGGAGGGGTCAGAGGCTACCCTTTTGCTCCTTGTCCCGAAACCCCAGCCCTCCCTCTCCCCGTGCAAAGGGGTTGCCTGCTCCCCCCCATCTGCTGAATCTCCATAGAGGGGGGTGGGGGACGTACCATTTAGGGGCGACCGGCTTTCTTGGACCGTTTGGTGGGGGACTTGCAGCTGCGGAAGGCATCCGTGTCCCGGATGTGCTGCCCTCTGACCTTGCTGGGGGAGGCGCAGGTGGCATCGGGGCGCGAAGTCTTAGCTTCTAGCCACCTGGAGAGACGGAGAGTTTCAGAGGTGCGGGTGCGGGCATTGGGGGAGGGGAGGGAGGAAGGGAGCTCAATTCACCCAGGGACTCCCCCTCCATCCCCCGGCAGCAGAGCCGGGGTGTCTGTCTTGAACATGTCTCTCTGCGTGCAGCCCCAGTCGTCTGGGGGGTGGGGGGCACAGGCTCATTCTCACCTCCGAAGACCCCGGAGCGGGCAGGTGCACTTCCAGGGGTTGTTGGTGAGGGTGAGGGTCTCCAGGTTGTCAAAAGGGAAGCTGGGAGGCAGCTGGCCCAGGCGGTTATTCTCTAGGTGCACGTGCTTCAGCGTGCTCGCCCCCACGAAGGCGCCATCCGAGAACTGGGGCACAAGGAGAGTATGAGGGAGCATTCCCTCCCCCCAGCCCCGCCCAGCCCCGCCCAGCCTCTCCCAGCTTGGCAGCCCCTTGGGGGAGTGAACTGCATCAGCTGGAGTGGCCACGTGGTGTCCCACGGATGATCTAATCCGGGCCATGGCCTGCTGAGATAGGGGTGTGACTTCCAGAGTGCAAGTGAGGAGAATGCCAGGAAAGTCCAAGGCGACAGCAGCCAGCACACCACGTCCACAGCCCCCCAGGGCCCCTCATCCCTGGCACCTGGCACACACACTGGCACAGGGGCGATGTCGCCAGGATCGAGCCCCAGATCTGAGCTGGTGCCCAGAGCAGCGGGTCAGGATCTGGTGGGATGGGCCGTGCGCCCAGGTGCCCCGCCGTCCTGGGGGCCTGGGACTGACCCTGCCTCTGTCCTCACAGTCCAGTTCTGCCTGCCAGATGCTGTTTGTGGAGCTGCCGCAGTGAGCGGTGGTTGCCAGGTCGGAAAGCTCCACGGGAAAGCCCTGGTGGGTGCCCACATCTTGGGACAAATGCCACAGGCTCTGCTCAGCCTCCTCTGCCCACTGAGAGGGCACTGTGTCACAAGGGGCACGGGGCTCCCCCTCTTTCGCCGGGGAGGGGTCGGGAAGGACAGGAGCCGCAGACAGGCTCAAGCCCTGACCAGGGAGGGGTAGAAGGTCCCCCTGACATCTGTCCTCCACCTTGTCCTGAGCCCCGACTTCTTGGCTGAAGCCTCTGGTCACAGACGGGTGCGTCCCCGGCTCCCCGCAGCTCCCCAGGCCCCACCATGGTCATCACGGAGAGGCCAGGAAGACCATGGTGCAGCGTTTCTGGTGCAAGGAACAGGGAGGGGGACAGGGAGGCACAGTCTGTCTTCCCTCCGGAGACACCCAGTGTCCCACTGATGATGGTGCTGGGCTTCTGCATTTGCCCCTTTGCCATGCCCAGTGGTGCCAGTTCCGCTGTGAGTCTCCAGGACCTGTGATTCCCAGGCCTCTCTCCGTGAAAACGGACGGAGAAGGCAGTGGGGGTGTGCGTGCAAGTCCTGGGGGGCGGGGAAGAGCTCCCCCCAGGTATTTCCTCTCTCTCCCACCCTCCACCCCGTCAGGAACAGGATCTCTTTGTGGGCCTGACTCAGCCCGCACCTCTGGAAGGCTCCTGATGAAACAAACCTTCCTTTATGGGGTTACCAGAGAGCAGGAGGGGGACAGCAGAAGAGGGCCAACAGGAAGAGGTGGCCGCTGCCCACAGCGGGGGCTTTGGAGGGCGCTGTGGAGATGCTGCTTAGGGGCCGCGGTGGGGGGGGCATCTGCCGTGGCAGCTGCGTTTAGAAGCAGGAATCTGAGGACGCCAGGGGCTGAGACAAGGGACCATGGGGTGGGATTAGAGCCAGGAGGCAGTGCCCGCGTCTGGGAGAGAGCCCCAGGACCAGAGGCCATTTTAGGGGGTGAGGATGGTGCTCCCCGCGGTGAGCCCAGATCCCCCCGCACCCCCCCCCCGACAGAGAAGAGTGGAACCCGGGGCACTCTGTGGCCGGCACGCACCTTCTCCAGGTGTGTGTTGTCCAGCCAGAGGGTCTCCAGGTACCTGCCGAAGGACTGGAAGGCGTTGTCAGGGATGCTCTTCAGGGGGTTGTGCGACAGCTTCAGCTCCTCCACCACGCGCAGCTTGCTGAGCGCCGCCGCGGGGTAGCTGGACAGCTGGTTCCGGTCCAGGTGGAACTTGGCGAGGTTCTCCACGTCGTCGAGCGCGCCGGGCTGCAGGGTGCTGAGCGCGTTCTCGGACAGGTAGAGCCAGCGCAGGTCCTTGGCGCCCTGGAAGGCGCCGGCGCGCAGCTCGCGGATCTTGTTGTTGTTGAGCTGCAGGATGAAGAGGTTGACGAGCGGCGAGAGCAGCCCGCGGGGCAGCTCGGTCACCTTGTTGTGGTCCAGGTAGAGGTAGGTGAGCTCGCTCAGGTCGTCGAAGGCGCCGGCGCGCAGCACGCGGATGTCGTTGTGCGACAGGTACAGGTAGATGAGCTGCTTGAGGCCGCGGAAGGCGCCGGCCGCCACCTCGCGGATCTGGCAGTGCTGCAGATGCAGCGACACGAGGTTGGGCATCGCGCGGAAGGCGTTGGCCGCCAGCACCGGGAAGCTGTTGCGCTGCAGGTTGAGCAGCTTGGTCTTCTCCGAGACCTTGGGGATCTTGTGCAGGCCCACCTTGTCGCAGATGACGTGCTGCAGGTCGCCGTGGCAGTGGCAGTGCTGGGGGCAGGCGGCCAGCGCGGGCAGCAGGCCGGCCAGGAGGCCGAGCGAGAGCAGGAGCACCGGGCGGGCCATGGCCGGGACGCCTGGGGCCCGGGGCGGCGGCGGCGGCGGCAAGTCCTCGGAGCGCGGGGCTCCGGGCCTATTTATACGGTGGCCCCGACCGCAGCGCGCGCCCCGAGCCAGCAACTACGTGGAGCACCGGGGCACCGGCGCTGCCCCCTCCCGCGCGCGCGGCGGAGATGCGCCCCCGCCCCCGACGGGGAGGGACGTTGGCCCCGGCGACCCCGCCGGGCTGGGACCCTCCCCTTTTCTCCGGACTTTGGGTCCAGCTTCTCTCGGGCCCCCTACCGCCTCCTTCCCAGGCTTTTTTTTTTTTTTGAAGGGGTGAGGGGTGGGCATGGGGTAAGGGAGGGGTGGGGAGGGTGTCTTGAGTTTGCACCGGAGAGAGGGAGGCAGTCTCTGAACTTGTTTGTTTGCTCTAGCTGGAGCCTCCACGCCACCTCCCCGCCCCTCCAAGCCCGCTCGGCCGCGCGCCCTGGCCCCGGGAGGGAGGAAGCCGAGCGGGACGGCCGGACGCGCGTCTCGCCGCGGTCTGCCGGCGGCGGCGCTTTCAAGGGGCGCTTGTGCGCGCGGGCGTCGCGGGTGCCCCCTGCCGGCGGGACTCGGAGCCAGCCCGCGACCCCCACCCCGCGCCCGGGGCTGGAGTTTCTTCTGTTCCGGGCACCACCCAGCCCCGCCGCTGAAGTTAGCCGCAAAAAGCGGGGACTTGGTGGTGGGGTGGGGTGGGGTGAGGGATGAGCGGGTGACGTGACCCCCAGGACACCTGAGGACCGCAGGCCCGGAGTCTGGGCAGCTAAGCGGGTCACACCATCTCCCTCATTTCCCCTCCCTAATCACCCTAAATTATCCCCCTCTCTTCCTCCCCACGCCCAGTGGTCAGACCTGCCCAGGGGGCTTGCAGGGTGGCGCCAAGGTGTACTTGGCAGAGGCCACACCTGGGCAGTATCCCCGCGGCTTCAGGGCGAGTGAAGGGGGCCAGGTTCTGGGGTCCTTTGGGCAACCCCACCCTCCGCAGGGATTCCTGCGAGAAGAGGAAGGGGATTGGGGGGAGCAAGCGGGCTGCCTGCTATAGCAATTGCCCCTTAGGGCTGGAGGGGAGGAAATTGCTGGGGTGCGGTGAGATTGTACTAAGGGGGGGTGGCGGTCTGAGGTCTCTTCCCGGAGAACACTCCCTCCCCTTCTCCTCGCAGCCAGGTACAAGGCGAGGCTGCCCCTTCCACCGTTGCCTCTAGATGAGGGTTATTATAATTGGCCCGGAACGTTCCGGACGGTATTTGGGCCTCTCCGAGGCTGGCTTCTGGTTTTCTCTTGCTCAGGATGTTCCAACCGCTCGGTGCGGTGGGGGCGAAAGGGGGGTGGGGCCGGGAGGGTGCCCAGGCTTCTAAAAGCCTTCCTTTGGCTATATTTTTATTTTGATGGAAATTAACTCACAGGCAGCTCTCCAGAGCTTGGGGGGCACCCAACCCCACAGCCAGACACTTGTCCCTGGTTTAAGGAGGCTGATGCAGGATAGGTGGCGGGTGGGGGGGGGGGGCGCCTGGGGTGGCAGTGGGGGTGTCTGAGTGGTTCCCGGCTGGCTCAAGGCAGGCTGGCTTTCTCATCAAGTGGACGGGACCTGTGGCTTGCCGGGAAGGGGTGGAGTGAGCTGAAATAAGGAAGGGGACCGGGGCAGAGGGCTGGTAAGGTCAGAGCACGTGGCTGGGCTGGGGCCGCAGCGAGACAGGGAGGGCCTGGCAGGAGAACGGGATCCCGGACTCTGTTCAGTGCCAGCCCGGCCAGTTCCAGGTCCCAGAGGGAACACGCCCCATCCCTCCGGGGTCCTCTCCCTCCCGCAAACATCTTTTCGGACCCCCTCCAGGTGGCATATGGCACCACTGAGAACAGTCCAGTGACCTTCATGACCTTTACCGAGGACACCACGGAGCAGAAGGCAGAGACTGTGGGCAGAATAATGCCTCACACAGAGGTGAGCCCCGGTGCCCACCTTGGCTGTGCCACCCCACCCCACCCCACCCAGGTTTCTCTCCGTGACTGATCCAAACTTCTCAGACCCCCAAGCACCCCAGAATCAAGTAGGGCTCCCCCACCAAGCCAGACCACGCCAGGTGGGGGTCTAACGGGCAGAAAGCAGTGGTGAAAGCTGCGGCCAGCTGGGCTTCTCCACAGCCTCCCTTCTGGCCCGAAGTGTTTTTGCCAAACCCCTTGTCTGCCTCGGGAAGCCAGGGCAGCTCAGAGAGGAGAGAGCATGGAGATTTTTTTTTTCCTCCCGGTTCTCTCTCCCGGAGCTCCCCTGCCTCTCCCTGCCTCACACAAGCCTTTTTTTTTTCCTTTTTACTATTGGGTTTGGGGACCACACCATGTGGTGCTGAGGAGCTACTCTGGGCTCAGTGCTCGGAGGTCTCTCCCAGTTGTGCTCAGAGTACCCTGCAGTTTGGGAACTCAAACTGGAGCCTGCTGCCTGCAGAGTCTGTGCCCAGCCTACCAAGATGCCCCCCCCCAAGTCCCCAGCACCCCACCCCAGCTGAGAGGTGCTTTTCTCATTTGCCATCAAGGATTTCCCAAGCAGCCTGGCCCTTTGGGCCGGGGGTGGGGCATGGGGGTCTTTGCATTGAAGGGCTCCTCTCAGATTCCCAGCTCTGGCTCCTGCCTACTCTGGCACCAGTGTGGCATGTCCCCATGTACCTGGCTTCCCTGTCCCCTCTGAGGTGACAGACCATGTCCCCTAGAGGCTGCTCTTTCTCACCATCATCCTGGGCTGACTCTGCCCAGCCAGGGGTCCAGTGGGCCCGTGCTGCTCCCCAGGATACCCACCCCACTTTAGACAGTTGCTGGCCTGTCTGGGACAGCAGGACATTTCTCTCCAGGCTTCCTGACTCTGCTGCCTCTCCCGTGCACGTGGCCTGGCCACGCCACCCTCTGTGGCTTCTTTGTTTGCTGCTTCACGGGTTGTTAGAGGAGACTCCCTTTTCTGCCAGGCAGCCACAGATTCTGCAGCTGGCCTGGCCCTCTGTGAGCATCTTCCTGCCCAAAGATTCCACAGCACCACCCGGCCTGGGCCTCTGAGATACTCTCATGCCAGCCCAGGTGGAGGTGGCCAACTGCGGGCGGCCTTTGCCTCCCTGCTCAGGAGTGGCATTACAAAACCTAGGAGCTGCATTACTAGGGGAGGGAAAAAGCCAAGACCCTTCCCCACCTTGCCCTCACCCCAAGGCTTCCATCCTGAAAGGCGAGGGTGGGAGCCCCCAGCCTGAATCGATCGGATTTCCCAGGCCCAGATCATCAACCAGCAGACCGGGGAACTGGTGGAGCTGAACTCGCCTGGAGAACTGTGCATCCGAGGGTATTGCGTCATGCTGGGCTACTGGGGCGAGCCCCAGAAGACAGACGAAGCCATCGGGCCAGACAAGTGGTATCGGACAGGGTGAGGAGACAGGGCAAGACTGGAGGGGGAAGGGGTGCTCGGTTTTGACCTCCCCCTCTCTCGAGTCCCAGGGAATATCTTCTTGTTCCTGCTGTTCCCCTCACCTCCTGCCCCCTCACCAATCACCCCCGAGCCTAACGCAGTGCCAGACACATCATAAGTGTGTGATAAATGAGTGAGCCAGCCAGCCAGACCAGACCTAGGGGAGAGGCCATCCCTGGGTTTTCCTTGCAGAGACATTGCCACGATGGACGAGGATGGCTTCTGCAGGATCGTGGGCCGCTCTAAGGACATGATCATCCGGGGCGGGGAGAACATCTACCCCGCGGAGTTGGAGGACTTCTTCCACACACACCCCAAGGTGCAGGAGGTGCAGGTGAGGTCCCTGCCCGCCAAGCCGCCACACTGGAGGGTCCCCCATCTCCCCACCTCCTCCAAGCCCTGCTAGGCCCCCGGAGGCAGGAAACAGATACAGGCACGAGGTGCTGTCTGAGCCGTGGCTCTGCCCCTGGAAGGTGGTGGGAGTGAAAGACGAGCGGATGGGGGAGGAAGTCTGTGCCTGCATCCGGCTGAAGGCAGGCCAGGAGACCACGGCCGAGGAGCTCAAGGCTTTCTGCAAGGGGAAGGTGGGTGCCCCCACTTCCACTCCCGCCCCCGCCCCTCCCCACAGCCCCAGGTCACCCACCTGACACTGTCCCCGTCTTGGCTCTGCAGATCTCCCACTTCAAGATTCCCCGCTATTTCGAGTTTGTCAACAGCTACCCACTCACAGTCTCGGGAAAGGTGTGTTTGTGGAGGAGACGGGGAAGGGAGGGAGGCCTGGGTTTCTGGTTCAGAAGGCCAGGCGGCAGGCCTTCAGCCACAGGCAAGAGTCTGTCCAAAGCCGACAGGCAGTGCAGGGGATTAAGGTGCTGCCTTGCGTGTGGCCAACCTAGGCTTGATGCCTGCATGCAACTCCCCCGATCACCGCCAGGACTGATCCCAGGGCACAGAGCCCGGAGCAAGTCACACACTGCTGCTGGCTGTCAACCCCCCCTCAAGAAAATAGGAAATAAAGGGTCTGTCCGGAGGCTGGCAAGAGAGTGGCCATAGCTCAGCCTACCCAGAGTGACTCCAAACATTCCCGATTTCAGCCTGAAGAACCCCTGGGTTCTCTGCAGACAGTTGAGTGCCTGGCTGGCAGGGGCCCCAAGCCTGGTTCTTATTACTTTCTCTTTCCTCTAGATCCAGAAACACAAACTTCGAGAGCAGATGGAACAACGTCTAAACCTGTGAATGGGGGGGTGGGGGCGCCTTGGCCCTCCCTGCTCCTGCCCCCCTCTCCGCTGGTCTGTTCATGTGACTTGGCATAAAGAGAGCGTTTCCTTTGGCTGCTCTCGCACTGTGTGATCTCTTGGCAGCTGTGACGGGGTGGGGCGGGGAGAGCTGTCGGGACACAGGCACTTTCAGGCCTTCTGGGCCTTGTCCGCAGCGGTGCATGCTGGCCTGCCTTGCTGACGGATTTCGATCCTCATCGATCCCTTTGAGATACCACTCCAGCCAGAGGGTGGCTATTCTCATTTGTTTTCCACATTATCCTATTCGTCTAGCATGATGTGTTCTTTGGGGCCGGGGAGATGGATGGCTCCAAGGACTGGAACAACATGCTTTCCAGAAGGAAGTGCTGGGTTCCACAAAGTCCCTTGAGCATGCACCACTCTGGGTGACCCCAACGTAAAAACAATGTCTTTATTTATATGATTCATATATCTTTCATTGCAGCTAGAGTGAGTGATTTCTGGTCTGTTGTGCAATCATCACCCAATTTATTTAAAATATTTCCATCACCATAGAAACCTTAAACCCTTTAGCTTATCATTCCACTTTCTTTTTACAAAAATATTTTTCTAATTTACTGACTCAGCATGAGATACAAAGTTACAAAGATACAAAGTTACAAAATGACAGTTTCAGTTCTACAATGTTCAAGCAGCCATCCTTTCACCAGTGTCTACTTCCCTATACCGGTGTCCCCAGTTTCCCTCCTGATCCCCAGCCTGCCTCTATGGTATTTTCCTCTTTTTCCTTTTAGGCACTGTGGTTTGCAATATTGTTACTGAAAGGGTATCATGCATATCACTTTACCTCCTTTCATACCCAGTTCTTGTTCAGCGTGATCACTTCTCACTATCATTGTCAGAGTGGTCCCTTCTCTGATCTGACCACCCTCCCCCCATCATCCCACTTTCACCTAACATTCACTTCCTCCCCCACCTAAGCCTTTTTATTTTGTTCTATTTTTTTTTTAAATTCATGAACTTGGAATTCCCCTGCTGGGCCAGGGAGACTAAGCACGTTGCAGTTTGAAATAAGAAATAAACACGTAGTGAGGCTGGAGCGATAGCACAACGGGTAGGGCGTTTGCCTTGCACACAGTCGACTGGGGTTCGATTCCCAGCATCCCATATGGTCCCCTGAGCACCGCCAGGAGTTATTCCTGAGTGAACGAGCCAGGAGTAACCCTTGTGCATTGCCGGGTGTGACCCAAAAAAAGAAATAGAAAAAAGAAATAAACAGGAAGGTTTCAAAAAGCACATGGTGCACAGGGGATCATGCACAGGATGTGTTTTGAATCCCTGGCATTGCATATGATCCCCTGAGCACCACTAGGGGTCACTCCTGAGCTCAGCACCAGAAAAAGCCTTGAGCATCACCAGGTATATCCCAAACACCAAAACAGCCAGAGCCATAGGACAGCAAGTAAGGTGCCTGCCTTGCATGCAGCTGATCCAGGTTCAATCTCGGGCATCCCATATGGTCCCCCTAGCCCACCAGGAATGATTCCTGTTTACTGCTGGATGTGGCACCAAAACCAACAAGCACACCCCACCGAACAATACTAGAAGGTACATTGGATTCTCCTAGCCTATCCCCATCTTGACTTCCCAAAGTCCTCCTGCCAACACTACTGCTCTCTTTTCTCAAAAATTCACATAGCCTTAGGGTATGCCCATTGCCAGGTATGCTTGGTGCTTTCACACATTTTTTTTTTATAGAGGGACACGAGAGATAGTACCAGGGTTAAGGCACTTGCCTTGCATGTGGTCAATCCTGGTTCGATCCCCAGTACCACACATGACCTCTGGAGCACTGCCAGGAGTGAGCACTGTCAGGACTGACCCTCAAACCCAAGTTTTTCCTTGAAATCTTCCCAACAACCCTGTCAAGCAGGAGAATGAGTTTCCTTTCACTGGTGATGAAGCTGAAACGTGAGGCATGTGCAAGACCACTGGCCTGGAATTCACGTGGCTCTTTCCACTTCACATAGCTCTCTGGGTGCTGCTTCCCCAGTCCACCTGCACCCCAGACAACATTGAGGGTCTCCCCAGGAGGGGCCCGCGGAGCCTGGTCCAGGACACAGCAGCTTATTCTCCCCACCAAGCAGATCATCCCAGAGATTTTCTGCACTCAGCAGGAGGGCGCTCTCCACTTCCCAGACTCCTTGGCTCTAGTACCCGCATGACTCTGGCACCCAGCAGATGCTGAATTAGGATCTCCTGCCCCTTTGTCCTAGGGTCGTGACTCAGGCCGTGTACTCTGACTTGGGTTTATGCATATTTAAGTCCCCCAGCGGCCAGCTCTGAGCCAAGCAAGTAGTTCAAAGGAACGTACAAAGTTCCTGGGATGGGTGAGGCACTGGGTCGGTGTTAGGGGTGTGTGTGTGAGGGGGGAAGTGTGGGGAATGAATGGGGCCACCCAGGCCGGGAAGGCCCGGCAGCGAGAGAGGCGCGTGTCCAGCAGGGGGCGCCCGAGCGCCGTCGCACGCAGAGCGCGCTCACGCAGTTCCTCCTCCTTCCGCCCGGCCTCGGACACACGCACAGTGCCCGCCATGGCGCTGCCCGGGGCTCGGGGGCGCGGCTGGGCAGCAGCTGCCAGAGGGGCCCAGAGGCGCCGCCACACGGAGCGCGCGGGAGGACGCCCGGGTCCAGAGCCCGAGAGCCGGCGCGCGGCGCTTTACGTGCACGTGAGTGGCGGGGCCGGGGCCGCCGCCGCGCGCTGGAACCCACGTGGCCACTGGTCACGTGGGAAACCCACGGCCCCGCGTACCCCTGCCGACCCCCCAACACAACACTACACAACACAACATAACAGCCCATGAGATATGGACGCGGTCGCAGTGCCCAGGCGGGTCTGAGCCGGCCGGACCGGACCTGGGCTGCAGGCCCCGAGGTCCGTTGCGCGTCCCCGCGGTGATGACCTTGAACCTGCCCTTTCCCTCCTGCGCTGCTTTTCTCACGCGGGGACGCCGGGTTCGTTGCTCCGGGTCCGGCCTGCCCGGACGGCGCTGGCGTGGGCTTAGAGGAGCGGGGGGGGCGGGGGGGCGGGGTTGTCGCTGACGGGACCCGGACAAGGACATCTGGGCCACCTGCAGGACTGACCCCCGGCCGGCCGCCCCCACCCACGCCTTGCTCATCCCCGCCCCCCTGCCCCCAGTGGCCGTACTGCGAGAAGCGATGCACTTACTGCAACTTCAACAAGTACATCCCCCGCGCTGGCGGCCTGGAGGAGGCAGCGATGCGCAGCTGCCTGGTGACCGAGGCCAGGACTCTACTGCACATCAGTGGGGTGCGCCGGTGGGTCTTGGAAGGGGGTTGAGGGGCGCGGTCGGGTGGGCGCCTCCTCCCACCCCCACACACACACCGTCTCATGGTCTCCGTCCTTTGTCCGCAGGGTGGAGTCTGTGTTCTTTGGCGGGGGCACCCCAAGCCTGGCCAGTCCCCGCACCGTGGCTGCAGTCTTGGAGGCGGTGGCCACCGCCGCCCACCTGCCCGCAGACTCCGAGGTCACGCTGGAGGTCAACCCTGCGTCAGCCCCAGGCGCCAAGCTGGCAGCTTTTGGAGCGGCAGGGGTCAACAGGGTGTCCATCGGCCTCCAGGTAACCCATCTTCTCCTTCCACACCCAGACCTGCGAGCCTCTAGTGTGTGTTGACACTTTCCTAAGCACTTAATTGTCTGTTGCTGGGCCCCTGGCCCAAGTGCCATGCGGCAGAGATTGGGAAAGCCTTTATTGAGTTCATCACAATATTCTAGCACCCACCAGAGCTCCTGGTATCAAGGAGATGCTCAGAAAACATCTGATCGGTGATTGGAAACACAGGAGGAGGTAGACAGGTGGCCAGATCACTGAAGCAAAGGCTGCTAGTGTAGGGAGGCCAAGCAAGGCCTGGAGATCAGCTTGGGCATGTGAAATCGCGGAAACCTTCCTGGAGGAGGTGGTGTTTGGAGGAGGTGGCATTCATAGGGAGAGGGTGTGGGAGGAAAAGACACAGGAAGTGAAAGAACCTTGCATACTTTTTGTTTGTTTTTTTGAGGGAGATGAACCACACCCAAAGGTTGTCGGGGCCTATTCCAGGCTCTGTGCTCAGGGGTGGTCCATATGTACGGCTAAGTGCCTGAAAGCCTGAGCTGACTCAGTGGCCCCACGACCCTGGAATGTTTCAGGGAGTCTTGAGTCATTCCATGTGAGCACAGGCTGCAGACAAGGCTGCAGTGTCGGGCCCCACAGTCTCGGTCCCTCACTGAGCAGCATGGGGTTTTGTCTCATGGTGAGAAGGCAGTGGAAAGTTTTGTTGTTGCCGCTGCTCTGTTTGGGGGCCACACCTAAGGGTGCTCAAAGGCTGCTCCTGGCTTGATACTTGGGAGTTGCTGCCAGTGGCACTCGGGGAACCTTGTAGTCTGAGGATCAGACCAGAGTTCTCCAAGCCTTCTGCACTTGATGCATGTACCCCCTTCCTTGGAGCTGACCTGGCCTGAGAGGAAGGTTTCTGAGTGGGGAGAAGTAGATGTGATGGAAAGGAGAGATCAATTCTGGCTCCAAACGCACATCTGACATCTAATTGTGACGACCCGTTAGGAAAACTTAAGACTCCTTTTTTTTCCTCTGGAGACTGGAGAGATAGCACAGAAGATAAGGCACTTGCCTTGCATGCAGCTGATCTTGGTTTGATTCCCAGCATCACCTACAGTCCTCCACGCACTGCCAGGAGTGATCCCGGAGCACCATCTGGATATGGACCAAAAAATAGAAAAAAGAAAAGTGTGTGTGTGTGTGTGTGTGTGTGTGTGTGTGTGTATGAGAGAGAGAGAGAGAGAGAGAGAGAGAGAAAGAGAAAGAGAGAGAGAGAGACAGAGAGACAGAGAGAAAGACAGAGAGACAGAGACAGAGAGAGAGAGAGAAGAACACATATCTTGGGCTGGAGCGATAGCACAGCGGGTAGGGCATTTGCCTTGCACGCGGCCAACCAAGGTTCAATTCCCAGCATCCCATATGGTCCCCTGAGCACGGCTTGGAGTAATTCCTGAGTGTAGAGCCAGGAGTAACCCCTGTGGGGGGGGGGGGGGGGAAGAACACATATCTTGAGATCTACCTACTCTCTTCCCCATTTTGTTGTTTTTAGTTTTGGAGCACACCCAGTTGTGCTCAGGGTTTGCTCCTGGCAGGATCAGGGACACCATGTGCGGTGCCAGGACTGCTGGGCTGCATGCAGGGCATGTGTTTTACCTGCCCAGGCTACATGCAGGGCAGGTGTCATACCTCCCATGATATCTCTCCACCACCCCCACCCACTTAACAATTTTTTTTAGTGCAGGCTCCTGCACTGAGAGCCATAAGCTCAGTGGCCGTACAGCCATAAGCAGAACTCTGGAAAGAATTCATCGAGAGACTTTTTTGTGTTGAGGCCACACCCCATGGTGCCTGGGGACTTCTCTGGGCTCCAAACCCATTGTGACACTTTAAAAAACCAGCCTGACTGTGTTCTTCCAACATGTCATTGTCAGAGCTGAGGATGTCAGCTAGGTTAAAGGCGAGGTGTAGACAGGGCTGAGGCACCCTGTGATCCCAGGTAGAGGTTGGGTCAGGGAGGAAAGAGGAAGCTGCCGGAGCAGTTGCAGGGGTACGGTTGGGCCACCAGGAGTATGACTCGGGATTTGATCATGGCGCTGTGGCAGGTTACCCTTCCTGACCCCTAGATTGTGGCTGGGCCAGAGAGTATCATTGCTCTAAAGGAAAGACACAGGGATGGAGAGGGGAGTTTGAATGGGGGGTCCTCTGTAAGTTGATTCCATGTGAGCAACCAGATCTGGGCTGCTCACTGGCATGTACTAGGGAGCGACTAGGTGGTGGTCCTACACCTGCATGAACCCAGGATGGCAGTCCCTGGCCTCAGGCTAGAGAGGCCAGGATGGCTCTTTCCGTGTCATTAACTTGGGGAGGGAGCAGAAAGGGCACATGCCTGGCATGCCTGAGGCCCTGAGTTTGGTCCCCTGCAGTGCCAGGTGTGGCCCTGCTGGCTCCCAAGCACCTCTGGGCGTGACCCTGGTGGCCTGAACAGCGTGGCACCCCCAGGCCCCAGTACTGAGCCATCAAGTCCCCATGACCAGACTGAGCTCGGCTGAAAGTGCTCGCCAACCCCGTGGGCACTTGGATGCCCCTTCTCCCCCTCCCCCCTCAGATTTAATTATCTTAAAATGTAAGTGGCCACATGGGCCAGTGCCTGCTCTGTCCGGCAGTGCGGACCTAGCCCGTTCTGTCATCACAGGAAATTCTTCGGGACAGGGCTGGGCTGTTGCCTGCTCGCAGATGATTCAGCATGATGTCTAGCGAGAGGAAAATGTGACCCATCGTTCCTCGGGGAAGCTAGCCGCCATGTTTCTCCTGCTCCTCTTTCGGCTTTTCCAGGGGTTTGAAACCCTTCAGGATGAAAAGTCAGACCTCAGGAGGCTGTGGGGCTGGGATGGAGCCCTGTCGCGGCCTTCCGTGTAAGGAGCTGGACCCCCGAGATGTTCTTACATAAATGAAAAGGAGACGGACAGCTGTGAATTCTAGGTCTGCCTTGTGATTATAGGACCTTGGGATCAAGGGGTCTCACAATCTCTGAACTTCAGCTTTCTCCTTTATAAAATAGAACCAACAGTGCAGAGTTATAATAATGATAAAGTAGAGGGACCAGAGAGATAGTGCAGAGGTAAGGTGTTTGCTTGCCTTGTGTGTGGCCCACCCAGTTTGAGCCCCGACACTGCCCATGGGCCCCTGAGCACAGAGCCAGGAGTGTGCCTTGAGCACCACTGGGTGTGTGCCCCCCCCCAAAAAAAACAAACAACAAAAGAAGGGCCAGGGGCAGAGTCCCCGCAGTGGGCAGGGCCAGGGTGCCAGCCTGACCCTCCGACTCCCATCTGAGTCCCCAGGTTTCTTCTGATCTGTGTCTGTGACCAGTAGGCCAGTGGTGGGTTCCTGCAGGCCCACCTCTCGGCCCTCCTCTCTCCCCAGTCCCTGGAGGACCGGGAGCTCCGGCTGCTGGGGCGGACCCACTCAGCCCACGACGCCCTGAGGACCCTGGAGGAGGCCCGGCGCCTCTTCCCAGGGCGCGTGTCCACAGACCTGCTGCTAGGGCTGCCTGCACAGCAGACGGGGCCATGGCTGCGGCAGCTGCAGGGGCTGCTCCGGTGCTGTGATGACCACGTGTCCCTGTACCAGCTGTCCCTGGAGCGGGGCACCCCACTCTTCAGCCAGGTGCAGCGGGGCGCCCTGCCCACACCTGATCCAGACCTGGCCGCCGAGATGTACCTGGAGGGCCGGACTGCCTTGCGGGAGGCGGGCTTCCGCCAGTACGAGGTCTCCAACTTCGCCAGGAACGTAAGTCCTGGGGCAGCTGGCCCGCAGGGGGCCCCGTGGCCAGGGGGCTTGCTGGGCGCTCTCCAGGCCTTGGGATGGGACCATCTGAGCAGAAAGGCCTCCCCACCCCCCACAGCCCCCGCCTCTGCACTGACTGTTTCCTCTCTCCCCACAGGGGGCGCTTAGTACCCACAATTGGACATACTGGCAGTGTGGACAGTATCTTGGCATTGGGCCCGGTGAGTGCCCTGTCGTCGTAGGTGGAGTGACTCGAGAGAGTGATGTCAGGGCGGTCTTGGACCACACAGGTCCCCTGCCCTCAGTTTCCCCAGGTGGAAAGTGCAGCAGGAAATACCTCCCGTTTTGTAGAGTGCGGGCGACTGTGTCCCCTGGAGCTGGGGTTGATACGATGCTTCTCAATCTTCTCCTGTGTGTGTGTGTGTGTGTGTGTGTGTGTGTGTGTGTGTGTGTGTGTGTGTTTCTTATTTATTTTAAGCCAGGGGCCACTCCCAGAAGTGTTCAGGGGTTATTCCCATCTCAGCTCAGTGGAGGGTGCCAGGGATGGAGCCTGGGCCTGCCACCTACAGCCTCTCCCAGCCTGTGTGAGTCTGATCTAGCATGTTAGCTGTTAGCTGGAGGGTCTGCTCAAACCCAGACTCAAACTCATCCTGGCCTGGGCTAGCGCAGCACCCGAGAACTTCACATTTCTTCCCTATTCGGGGCCATACTCGGAGAACTCACGGAGGTGTTGGCTGCCACTAAACTGGAGTTGGTTGTTGTTGTCAGGGGCCCACGGGCGGTTTGTACCCCTGGGGGCCGGTGGCCACACCCGGGAAGCTCGGATCCAGACCCTGGAGCCTGACAACTGGATGAGGGAGGTGATGCTGTCTGGCCACGGCACCCGGAAGCGTGTCCCCCTGGGCGAGCTGGAGCTGTGAGCATCAGGGGGTCTCCTGCGGGCTTCCCATGCACCCTCAGACCCACCCGTGCCCACCACAGAGCTTCAGCTCTGGGTGGAGTTTGGAGAGTAGACAGGTCAGAGGGCTCTGAGATCCCTGGCTGGGTTTTACTTTCAGACTGGAGGAAGTTTTGGCCATGGGGCTGCGGACAGATGTGGGAGTCACTCACCAGGTAAGAGGTCAGTGGGCTCTGGTACCCTGCATGCTCCAGTTGGCAGAATCATTCTCCTTTCTGTATATATGCGTGTGTGTGCACACGCACTCACATGCAAACATATATACACACAGAGCCTCATACACATATACCGAGCCTCATATACACACATATAGCCTCACACACTCAAACACAGCCACACTTACACACACCACACACACATTCTCTCTCTCTCTCTCTCTCTCTCTCTCTCTCTTTCTCTCTCTCTCTCTCTTTCTCTCTCTCTCTCTCACATATACACACAAACTTCAAACATAAAACACACACACATACACACATAGTCTCACACACATCCCTCTCCCATGTGGGCAGGGCGGTGCAATGGTGAGACCCTAAGCCAGGGCACTCCTCTCCCCTCTACTCCCAGGGATACACATCTTAGCTTTAGTCTGATGCCCCATTTTCTCAGCGATGGGTTCAGAATGCCGGAAGGCTTCCAAATGTTTTAAGGCAGCACCGTTCAAACTCAGAGCTGTGACTCTGGGTGCCAGATGGGGGGCCCATGGGGAGACTCACTGGGGGGCACTGGGACTCAGCCTGGCCCTGGTCCAGGAATGAAGTGCCTCCCTGCTGGCCCGTTGGCCTGGTCCTGGGGGGTGGAGGCAGGGACGGGACCCCCTGCATTGGACCAGAGCCTTTGGTACCCTTACCCGTGCCCCGCGTGACCCGCTCACTGTCCCGCTCTGGCTGGCCCCTGACCTCCGAGCCTGCCCCTTCCCCAGCACTGGCAGCGGTTCATGCCCCGGCTGAGCCTGGGGGACGTGTTCGGAGCAAGCCCGGCAGTGGGGGAGCTGCAGGCACAGGGGCTGTTGCTGCTGGATGACAGGTGTGTGGGGGCTGACTGGGGAGGGCGCAGAGGGGGCCTGTGGGTGCGGGGGTGGAAGGGAGGGGGACGAGGTGGTCACGGCCGGGTCTGGGTATTCCAGGGGTCTGCGGTGTTCCTGGGAGGGCCTGGCCGTTCTCGACTCTGCGTTGCTGATCCTCCTCCCTCTGCTCCGCGAGGCCTGGCAGCGAAGGCCCTGCCCCGCACTAGGAGGGTGACCGGACCCCGTCAGGTGGGCCTTGGGGGCCTGAGCTGGTCTTACAGACATTGGCTCTGGCCATGGCCGGGAGCCTTGAGGACACGACTCCAGGCAGGGGGCCGGAGTCCCGCTCGGGTGAGGGACGTGGCATCAGCTGGGCGCCACGCTGCAGGCACGGTTGGGGCATCTGCCAAAACCTCTCGATGGTGAGCCCAGAGGCCACACTCTGCAGCGTCCAGCGTGCCCCCCCACCCCCCACCATGCAGGCCAGGGCAGAGAAGGGGTGAAGCCTGCTGGGGGAGACCCTGTGTGGACACTCAGCTCAAGGGCAGCTGGGCTCTGAGAATAAGGGGACAGTCAGGGGAAGCGCTGCCTTTCTCTTTAGTCATCCAGGGTCTGTCCTGGCCAGCAGGAGCCAAGCAGGTCTCTGTGAGTGCCCTCTACATGGGGGAGGGGAGCTGAGCAGGAAAGGGAGAGGGGAGGAGAGCCTGCTGGTTGTCCTGGCCCTTTGCTGCACCAGCATTCTCTGGCCATTTTTCTTTTCCTTTTTCTATTTTTTTTTTTTAAATAGCCTGAAAGGCCCTCCAGAGCCTGCCTGGGTCCTTGCCTGTGCCAGGGCCTGCCTGGAGGGGGGCCTCCTGCTTTCGGGCTCGAGGCTTAGTCTGGGGCCAAGAGCCCTCACCCTCTCCCTGCATTTTTCCTTTTGAAAGATTTCAAACCTCCAGAAAAGTTGAAAGGAAGAGTTCGATGTAAACCGTACCCACCGCCTCCGCCGCAGGGAGCCGGCACAGTGTGGGAAGAGACGAGGATTCATGTTAGCAAGGCCCGCTTCCACCCACCGAAATCAAACAGCCAGCCTCCCGGCCCAGTGCTCAGCCCGGCCTCGGCCATTGTTACACACCGGCCACGTTCATTTCATCTTTAGACAGCTCGCTCGCGCGCGACTTTCTTTTTTCCTTCCTGTCTTTCTTTTTCTGCACCGTTTGAAAGAAAGTTGTAGACGCCAAACATTTTATCTTCTGTGTCCAAGGAAAGATTTATTCTCTGGCCACAGAAACCGTTATCAGCCCAAGAGCAATGACAGCCATGCGGTTTTCTCGAATGTGCGCCCGGGCTTCCGAAACACCTTCTAATTCATAAGGGGACACAGGTTCCAATAAAGTTTTATGCTTCACTTTCAACACTGTGTCTCTTCAGTTTCTTTCAATACAGCCGCCTCAATAAAACAAAACAAAACAGAACAAAAAACAGTTTGGCGACCCCCAGGGCCTCACACAGGCATGACGAGGCCAGCCCTGACCCTTCCTCCTGGCATTGAATTTCTCAGAGTCAAGGTCAAGTCCACCAGGTGAAGCATCCCACCTCTGGCTCTGTGTGACTGTTTCCCCGTGATTGGGTTTAGTTAAATATTCCTGGCAGAAGTACTAGGTGACTGCCATGTAGCCCCCAGCTCTGCTGCGTGGCCTCAATCAGTCACAGGACATGCAAGCACTTGGAGGTGGGCCCTACCCAGGTTCTCTACATTTTGGAACATTTTTCCTCATAAATGAATAGATTTGCTGTGGGGCTGTGACCTTGAATGTCCTGTGCCCTGACACTCATTTGGGCCCGATTATTGAAGCATCCATCTTGGCGTCTGCCCCGGGGAGGACTGGACAGGGAGTTGCAGAAAGGTAGTTCTTGACCCCATTATTCCATCAATATTCATGAGCTGGCATTCATCTGGGGGAAGAAAAAAAAAGCTTTCTCTCTCCCGCTCTTTACTTTCAGGCCACATTTGACTGTGCTCAGGTCATAGTCCTGGCTCTGCTCAGGGATCACTTCTGATAGTGGCTGGTTGCATGCATGGCAAGCACCCTGCCCACTGCACTATCTGGCCCAAGATTTCTCTCTCTCTCTCTCTTTTTTTTTCACAAAGCTGATAACCTAGAAATCACGCGTGCAATGTGTGTGTGTGTGTGTGTGTGTGTGTGTGTGTGAGAGAGAGAGAGAGAGAGAGAGAGACAGAGAGAGACAGAGACAGAGACGGAAAGAAGGAGAAAGCCTTTTTCCTATCCAGAGGGCTACGTTCCATTCTTTCCTCTACCAAAGGGTTCCATGAAACCCCAACTAATCTGCTATGCTACAAATCAGGGCGGGCCAAGCTCACCCTTGGCCTGGGAGATCTGACCCCACCCCCGAGGAGAGCTGCTGCCTTTCTGAGCTGCTGGACTGTAGGTATCAGTCCAGCTCTGACCCTGTGTAACTCGGTAAGTGTTCTCGCCTCTCCGTTCCTCATGAAAAAGTCAGTGAGCAGCGGCAGTGTGCCGGGGACACACTGGGCTCTCAGGGGAAATCAAGCCTGTCCCAGCCCTTAAGGGACTCACCAGCTAGCGAGAGCTGCTGACAAGATCACGTGTGAGGTTATCAGTAAAGAGGTGTAGCCATGCCCTGGAAGCCTGCAGTGCCTGTGGTTCTGGGGGGCTGGGAACAGAACAGGAAATGTTTTTTCCAAACTCCCTCCTCTGGCTCTGGGGTCACTTACAGGGGCCCCCAGACTCCCCTACCCTCTTCCTGCACCTTCCTCCACTATTTTTTTCTTTTGTATTTTTTGGGTCACACCTGGCGATGCTCAGGGGTTACTCCTGGCTGTGCACTCAAGAATTACTCCTGGCGGTGCTCGGGGACCATACAGGATTCTGGGAATCGAACCTGGGTCGTCCGAGTGCAAGGCAAATGCCCTACCCACTGTGCTATTGTTCCAGTCCCTCCTCCACTTTTTAAAATATGTTTTTGGGTCACACCCAGCAGTGCTCAGGACTTACTCCTGGTGGGCTCAGAGGACTATATGGAGTACAGAGGATGGAACCCAGGTGCATGCAAGGCAAACACCTTCCTTACCTGCTGTCCTATCTCTCTGCTCCATCCCCTACCTTGATATTAGAAGGAGAGATAGAGAGATATGATAGATATTAGAGGGAGAGAAGTAGAGGTGGGAGGGCACTCTTAGGCTTCTCCCAGCTGCCAGGGCTTGTGGCCCCTAGAGGCCCAGGCCCTCCCCAAAGGGGCTGGGCAAGAGCCCGCTGGGTGACACAGGTCACCTTCCGTGACTCAGTCTGGTCCCACCCTTCGGGGTGAATCAGAGTCCCAGTGACATGAGTGGTCGGCTCCTGTGTTTTCATTTCCTCCCTGTCCCCCTTTCCTGCCTCCTCCCAGTTGATGCTGTAGCACAGAGGTCAGGGCTGACACGGGCCTGGCTGTGGGGCTCGTGGTGGTCCCATGGGGGTCCCGCCACAGGTTGCGGTGCCAAGGTTTGCACTCCTTAAGTGCTTTGCTTGCACACATGCTCTCTGGTGGCCACACTCTCAGTTGAGGCTCAGACTGGGGGTGGCCACCAATGCTGGCCAATGGGGACAGTTAACATCCCTATGTAATGCCCCAGTCACAACACTTCTGCGTGTTTTTATTTGCAAAACTTGCTGGGGACCGCACCACCCTTTTTTATGGGACTTATGCAAGCCCAGCTGTGGGGCAGCCATAGGCACAAACAGCAGAGCAGCCAGGATTGTGCTGAGCGTATGTGGGACACCCAGCATTTGAACTCATGACCAGTGGCTCGCAAGACAGCTGCTCCAGGTCCCTGGGCTCTTCCTCCAGGCCCAGGAAGAATCTAGCTGTCAGAGCTTCCTAAAGAATTCTCATGGTTGGTTCAGTCTAGGAAGCCCTGTCACCTCCGGTCTCCCATCCAGAGAGGCTGGGGTCCAGAGAGGGAGAGGGGTATAGCTACTCGGTCCACATGGGACCAAAAAGTCGAGGGAAGAAACTTCCTTCCTCAAGCTGTAAGGGGCGGGGGGGTCTCCTCTACACCGAGACATGTCATCTTGCATTACTGAAAAGCACACAGACACACATAAAAGGGGTGGACAAGCTATTTTGGGGATGAAGTGATGGGAGAGGATTGGGTTAGTGTAGGCTGTGTGTGGGCACAGCCTGAAGACCTGGCCTTGCCCAGCTAGAGCACGGGCAGTGCTAAAGCCCTTGGCTTGGCTGTGCTGCCCATTGTGTGGAGCGGAGGGGCAGCCACCTAGCTATTTGAATTTACACAGGGCAACATTCAAAGAGGTTCTTCATTTTATTGTTATTGTTATTATTATTATTATATGTTTTTGAGTATTTTATTCTTATATATATTTTTTGTTTTGAGTAGGCAATTCGTATATGGAAAGCATAGGCTACCTCCTTGGATCCTCAAAGAGATCCCTTTTCGGGGTGGGGCTCACCTGGCAGTGCTCAGGGCTAACTCCTGGCAGGGCTTACGGAAGTATATGGGGTGCTGGGGAACAAACCCAGGTCAGCCACATGCAAGGCAAGTTCCATGCGTACTGTCCTGTCTGTCTGGCCCCTAAAGAGATGCTTCACTTAAGTCACAGAAAGCAGTGGATCCTAGACATCCAGACGTCCAGCTTCTGGACATCCAGAACTTTCTGTCACATCATCATTCTATAGTTCCCATAAGTCCAGGTCAGTAATCTGTCTCTCAAATAAGGCAAATTCCTGGCCTCTTTTTGGCCTCTCTACCTGGTGCTGGAAAGCTCAGACTCGGTTTCTCTCTTTGCCCCCTTCAGATGCTCTCACAGCGAAGGTGAGGTGTACGTATCCCACCCATCCCCAAGAGTCCATCCTGGGTCAGGACGGGCCCCGCAGGGGAAACCAACTTCAGCTGCACTTGAATGTCCCCCTCCCCTGAGCTTGCCTGTGGCAACCTCATCCCCCCACACCACCCCGCTGTGTTGTCTGTAGCAGTGGCCTGAGGGCAGGGGTGGGGGTGTCACATCCTGAGCATTGCAACCTCCTAAGTGTGGGACTTGCATCCTTATCCCAGAGACCTTGGGGACCCTTTCAGCTCTTCTCTGTGGAGTGACCTGGAGAGGAAGCAGATGTCTGAGAGCCACCAAGTGGGTTCCCACCAGCCACTGAATCCATCAACATGCTCAGGGTGAACTCTCCAGCCTCCAGGACCAAGAGAAGGAAGTGTCTGTGATCGAAGCCTCAACAGAACAAGTCAGGGAGGAGAAAACGTGGGTGGCAACGATGATAAACATCATTATCCCAAGTGTTTCCTTGGGTGTCCACATTAGGCTGCCTGTGCCCTGTTGAACCCTGGGAAGGGCCATGCGCCTCACCCAGTCCCGGATGCAACAACCCACGGGTGCTCGTCAGCTCCTCTGTCTGCTCGGAGGCACCCCGCAACACTCTGGTCTGGTCCCAGAGGGAAAAGGATGTTGGGGCAGAGCAGTCGCACAGCTGACTAGAGCAGCAGTGAGTCACGGTGCTGGTTACTGTTGCTGGTTGCTGGTGAATGTTGCTTTGAGGTTTGGAGCTTGTTTATTACTGTAGCTTAACTGAGTCTGAACTGGCTGGTGCCATTTGTTACAATCCAACACTCAGAGCTGGTATGGTAGGCCCAGGGATAGTGCTCAAGTGGTAGAACACATGCTTAGTATATACTAGGGTCTGAGTGCGATTCCTGGCACCACAGGCAGCACCCCTCCCACCCCCCAATAGCACCACTGCTGATACCTACAAAATGAAGCCTGCTGCATTTCTTCTGCACGGATGGACATATTTTGTTTCTGTTCGGGAGTCACATCCAGCATTGCTCAGGGGTCAGTCCTGACTCTACCCTCAGGAATTACTTCTGGTGATACTTGGGGGACCATATGGGATGCCGGGGATCCAACCCAGGTCAGCTGCATGCAAGGCAAATGTCCCACCTGCTGTACTATCGCTCCAGCATCAATGAACATATTTTGATATGCAGTCTTACAAAAGTGAGATAAAATGCATCTTGCTTGGAAGTCTTCTCCATCGACCTCACAAGTGCTCTCTTTCTAAGTCGAATATGCATCCAACCGTTTTTCAATGTAGCTCGAGAATAGGCTTCTGCTTGGGGGACAGTATGAGCTGCCAGAGAGTGAACAGGGGTCTGCTGCTGCAAGGCAAGTACCTTGCCCACAGTACTATCACTCTGGCCCTTGAGAATGTTTTTGTAATAATAATAATAATAAAAACAACAATGCATTAACTCAGGAGCCGGAGATTACTCAATGGACCGAGTACATGCTTTGCATATGCAGGGAATGCATGGTTCTCTGTGCACTAAAGCTCAGAGCACAGTGCTGGGAGTAATCTCTGAGTATCG